CAAACTGCTACATTTGATGTCAATTCTGTAATCAAACCAGTACTTATGACAAATATAATCTGTCCAGTTAATGGAGTCACTTTTCTCGCAACAGTAGCTAGCTGAAAAATTAGAAAGCAACTGTTTACATAATCAATAATGAGAAATCTACTGACATTAATTAAACAACACTATTAGAAATAGGTATAACTAATATATATCTACCTAATGAATAATATAAATATGAAGTTAAAAACCAGATGAACCAACCACTTGTAAGGATAAAATAACATAAAATATAAATAATTAAAAATCACATGGTAACACTATAAGACAATGCAACTAAAAATCACAGCAGAATTGATAAAAAAACTTTTTACAAAAAATATTTACGTTATAGTGTATAAATTATAATAGTTACTAATAAATATTAAGAAGTTTTATTTTATTTGACAAGCATCAAGTCCGTCGACTTATTTACATTTTTATGTTTTTTTTACTTTAAGGTCACAACCAAAAAACACGTAAACCAAGATCTTCATGGTCGATGGCAAATAATTTCTCATTTCGTGCCAATTCGTAACAAATCTTACACGATAAATGGGTTCTTAACGTGTAATGGAATTTTTGGGAACTGTAAGTTAAAACAATTATAGTATACTTATATGTACTTCTAACTTATTATGCAGTTGCTTGCTTATAACAGTAGGAATAAATACAAAAATTATTAACGGTAAATAGAAAATAATGCCCAGTATAATATAAATAATTTTCAAAAATTAAAAAAAATGTTATTTGAAACCTGTGTACAAGAAGTATACTGCTATTGATGTTAGTATTTGCTGTCAATGAATGTAATAAGGGTATCAATAACTTCTTACCTTTTCTACTAAAAGAAAAAGCATGCATGGTGTTATTTTAATAAAAATGAAAAAACAAATAACAGATTCGACCTTTTTTTGGTAAATGTCTGGATGATGGGGTGGGTGGGATCGAAAGAGGAGGTCTCCCCCACCATTGTACCATAAAAAGTTCGTGGCGGTCTCACCCCCATAAAAAGTTATGGGGGTTAGATGGGGTGAGGGTAGGGGGGATCGAAAGAGGGTGGGAGGGATCGAAAGAGGGTGGTCACCTAATTAAAACCCCATAAAAAATTTGCGGCGGTCTCACCCTCATAAGAAATTATGGGGGTTGAAAGTTGATTATTTTGTCAATTTTCATACACTATAAATCAAATGAAATTTCATAAAATAATTATTTTCAAGCGGGTGGAGGTGGGGGATCGAAAGAGGGTGGTCACTTGAACAAAACCCGATAACCTTACCTAACCTAACCTAACCTACCCTATTCTAACCAAACCTAACCAGGTCAAACTTGCGCCATGCCACCTTTTCGTACTTTCCCTTCCTTAATGAACCAATCTAACATGATAAAACATAATTCAATCCAACCCAAGTCAATCCAGCGCAATCTAAGCTAACCTAACCTAACCTAACCTAACC